TCTTTCAGAGAAAATGGCTTTTTTCTGAACTATTTTCTAGACTTCCCATCCTTTGCACCTGGTATTTTCTCTTGCCTAGTATTCTATTGTAAAAATCCAGCCCAATATGGATCTCTGTTTGTGGCTACATTATTTGGATAAGCTATGTATCCTTTAATTGTAATAACATTTTCAAGGGGAGTTATATGTTAACTGCTTCCTAATTCCCTCTCAGACCAGAAAAATAACATGTACTATTTTCATTTCGCTTGAATCTCGGCTTCTTCACAAGCGTTATAAGCAACTTGAAGGAAGAAAGGTACAAAGCCATATAAACACAAATTGCCTCACTGTCTGGGCAAGAGACTTGGCATACGTAAGGGCACTAAAAATACCTCTGCCCTTCTGAATAACATTATACAGTGCTGCTGTTGATAAAACATGATGCGTAAAAACTTCTTTAGTTCCCATGACAAGCATATTTGTATATTCATGCCTTATCCAGTATATGCAAACTCTCATTAATATGAATATGTCAAAATGTAGGCCTGAGATAGGACTACTAATTTTTAAAGCATCCTTATCAAGAAAAAGGAATGTAACTTCATATTGGAAATTTAGATGCACACAGGATTATGCTGTGTAGGGTGAGCGAGGTAATTGGTGAATGGTGCTTTGGCCTGGGAGGGAACATAAAGTGCAAATGGATTGTGGGGAGTCAGAAGGTCAGGCAGCAACATCAATATTTCTATGCTGAGATGCTTGCCCTCTGGAGTCAGATTCTTCCTGAAATCTGTGAGGCTCCCACCCTACTGACATTCCAGAGGGCCCTGAAGACTAGGCTGTTCTCCCAGGCCTGGATTAGGGTGGATAGAAACTCTTCTTGGATGTATTTTTTGGTATGTGTTTTATATTGAGCAGCAGGATCCAACTTATCTGTTCTACATTGTGCTACTATTTTGTTTGCTATGTTGTGGGCTGCCCAGAATCATTTTGGAGTCAGACAGCATCTTAATCAAAGTGTGTGTGTGTGTGTGTGTGTGTGTGTGTGTGTGTGTAAGCAGATCCAATTGGCAAAAGAAAGTTCAGAACTGTATAGATTGGAAACGCGTGGAAGAGGCCTTCACCCTGCAGTGGAGATAGACAATGGCTAAAATGATGGTGTATGTATGTATGGATTACTGCCTTGTCGTGGCGAAGGGGATTGCATAACTCAATGAAGCTATGAGCTATGCCATGCAGGGCCACTCAAGATGGACAGGTAATAGCAGAGAGTTCTGATAAATGTGATCCACTGGAGAAGGAAATGGCAACCCACTCCAGTATCTTTGCCATGAAAACCCCAGGGACAGTACTAAAAAGCAAAAAGATATGACGCTGGAAGATGAACCCCTCAGGTCGGAAGGTGTCCAATATGCTACTGGGGAAGAGCAGAGGGCTAGTACTAGTAGCACCAGAAAGAATGAAGCAACTGGGCCAAAGCCGAAAGGATGCTCAGCTGTGGATGTATCTGGTGGTGAAAGGAAAGTCCGATGCTGTAAAGATCTTTTCTCCATAGGAACCTGGAATGTGAGATCCATGAATCAAGGCAAGCTAGACATAGTCAAACAAGAGATGACAAGACTGAACATTGACATCTTAGGAATCAGCGAACTAAAATGGACAGGAATGGGTGAATTTAATTCAGATGACCATCAGGTATACTACTGCAGGTAAGAATCACTCAGAAAGAAATGGAGTAGCCTTCATAGTCAATAAAAGAATAGGAAAAGCAATACTGGGATACAATCCCCAAAATGACAGAATGATCTCAGTTTGAATCCAAGGCAAACCATTCTATCACAATAGTCCAAATCTATGCCCTAATAACTGGTGCTAAAGAGGATGAAATTGACTGGTTCTATGAAGCCCTACAGCACCTTATAGAATTAACACCAAAAAACAATGTCTTTATCATCATGGGGGATTGGAATGCTAAAGTAGGAAGCCAAAAGATAACCGGAATAACAGACAAGTTTGGCTTTGGAGTACAAAATGAAGCAGGGCACAGACTGATAGAATTTTGTCAAGAGAATACGATGGTCATAACAAACACTCTTTTCCAACAACTCAAGAGACGGCTCTACACATGGACATCACCAGACGGTCAACACAGAAATCAGATTGACTATGTGCTCTGCAGCCAAAGATGGAGGAGCTCTATACAGTCAGTAAAAACAAGACCAGGAACTGACTGTGGCTCAGATCATGAGCTTCTCATTGCAAAATTTAGGCTTAAATTGAAGAAAGTAGGGAAAAGCACTAGGCCACTCAGGTATGAACTAAATCATATTCCTGATGAATATACAGTAGAGGTGACAAATAGATTTAAGGAATTAGATCTGATAGACAGAGTGCCTGAAGAACTATGGACAGAGGTTCACAATATTGTACAAGAGGTAGCAACTAAAACCATCCCAAAGAAAAAGAAATGCAAGAAAGCAAAATGGCTGTCTGAGGAAACTTTGCAAATAGCTGAGGAAAGAAGGAAAGCAAAAGGCAAAGGAGAAAGAGAAAGATACATTCAATTGAATGCAGAATTCCAGAGAATAGCTAGAAGAGATAAGAATACCTTTTTAAATGAACAGTGCAAAAAAATAGAAGAAAACAACAGAATAGGGAGGACCAGAGATCTCTTCAAGAAAATTGGAGATATGAAGGGAACGTTTCATGCAAAGATGGGCATGATAAAGGACCAAAATGGCAGGGACCTAACAGAGGTAGAAGAGATTAAGAAGAGGTGGCAAAACTACACAGAAAAACTATACAAGAATGAGCTTAACATCCCAGATAACCACAATGGGGTGGTCACTGACCTCGAGCCAGACATCCTAGAATGTGAAGTGAAATGGGCCTTAGGAAATCTGAGCAACAACAAAGCTAGTGGAGGTGACAGTATTCCAGTTGAGCTATTCAAAATCTTAAAAGACGATGCAGTAAAAGTACTACACTCAATTTGCCAGCAAATTTGGAAAACTCAACAGTGGCCACAGGATTGGAAAAAGTCAGTTTACATTCCAATTCCAAAGAAAGGCAATGCCAAAGACTGTTCAAACTATTGCACCATTGCACTCATTTCACATGCTAGTAAAGTTATGCTTAAAATCCTACAAGCTAGACTCCAGCAATATGTGGATCGAGAACTACCAGAACTACAGGCAGGATTTCGAAGAGGCAGAGGAACTAGAGATCAAATTGCCAACATACGCTGGATCATGGAGAAAGCTAGGGAGTTCCAGAAAAACATCTACTTCTGCTTCATTGACTATGCTAAAGCCTTTGATTGTGTGGATCACAACAAATTCACCGTTCAAGAATTTCTCTACCCTCATGGTCTGGTAGAATTTTGTCTCTTGAGAAACCTATATGTGGGTCAAGAAGCAACAGTGAGAACTGGACACAGAACCACTGATTGGTTCAAAATTGGGAAAGGAGTCCGGCAAGGCTGTATACTGTCACCCTGCCTATTTAACTTATATGCAGAGCACATCATGAGAAAGGCAAGCTAGATGAATCAAAAGTTGGATTTAAGATTGCCAGGAGAAATATCAACAACCTAAGATATGCAGATGATGCTACTCTAATGGCAGAAAGTGAAGAGGAACTAAAGAGCCTCTTGATGCGGGTGAAGAAGGAGAGTGCAAAAGTTGGCTTGAAATTCAACATTAAGAAAACCAAAATCATGGCATCTGGTCCTCTCAATTCCTGGCAAATAGATGGGGAAGAAATGGAGGTAGTGACAGATTTTATTTTCCTGGGCTCCAAGATCACCTCAGATGGGGACTGCAGCCAAGAAATTAAAAGACGCTTGCTCCTGGGGAGGAAAGCTATGGTAAATCTAGACAGCATACTAAAAAGCAGAGACATCACCCTGCCAACAAAAGTGTTTATAGTCAAGGCCATGGTTTTCCCAGTTGCAATGTATGGATGTGAAAGTTGGACCATAAGAAAGGCTGAGCGACAAAGAATTGAGGCCTTTGAACTATGGTGCTGGAGAAGACTCCTGCGAATCCCTTGGACTGCAAGGCATTCAAACCGGTCAGTCCTAGAAGAGATCAACCCTGACTGCTCTTGAAGTTGAAACTCAAATTCTTTGGCCACCTAATGAGAAGGAAGGACTCACTGGAGAAGGGCCTAATGATGGGACAGATTGAGGGCAATAGAAGAAGGGGACGACAGAGAATGAGGTGGCTGGATGGTGTCACTGAAGCAGTAGACGTGAACTTAAATGGACTCCAGAAGATGGTAGAGGACAGGAAGACCTGGAGAAACGTTGTCCATGGGGTCCCGATGGGTCGGACATGACTTCGCAATTAACAACAACAACAACATGTATGTATCTATGATTAAACTAAATGACCAAAGGCGTAATCTGGTGTAAGGCAGATTTTTTTCACTCTTCATTTTCTGTATGCTCAATTTGCCACTGAATTTTAGCCCTGCTCTTTCATAGCTATTTTGTACTGTCACAAAGAAATATACTGTATAATTGGTGGACATTGCCCACTTGTTTCCATTGCAAATGACTATGACTATCCATTGCTATGTTCTCTAATAGCATTGTCCAACAAAGTTGCTTTAGCTTGATTATTGGAATAAATAAAAACTAATGTACTTTTTTCATCCCACTGTTGCAGATAAGAATTTTACATTTCACAACGTATTTCTATTAATTCGGATATCAGCATGATTCCATAGTAATCCCTTGATTTAAATATATTTGTATGTTTATAAAAATAGCAAACAAATTCTCCTATATGCATTGGGACATGTATTAATAATCTCTTTTTCAGTAAGCATGAGCAACCTTTGCCCTTTCCTGATCAGCTTTGTATTAATTGTGTTAACTATTTTATCCATGGGTTTGAATTTCCAATCTTCATAATTTGGGTGGGGGAGTCATGAACCATGGAATTTCATGGGATGGTTAAGTTGGGCCCTTAAAATGTTAAAATAGAGGAAACAGTTCTAAGTTTACTTACTTGGTTTTCTTTTAGAGTTATCTGTCCTTGTTCCTTGCATCCAATAAATGTTCTGATACATTTGAAAACTTTTTCATCTTGTAATCTTTGAACAAAATTAGCAGGAAAAAAACCAGTTCGATCTTCTATTTTTCCCTGTGAACAGACATGGTGACAAGACAATCATTACATAGTATTAAAGTTTGTATTTTGTATATGTTATTTTTCAGTCACTTCCTCAAGGTGATTTGTTCTGCTTTCCCTTCAGCTACTGAGATAGCTAGCTTTGTAAAACAGTTCCCACAGAGTCTACAATCACCCACTGAGTTTCATCAAAATTCAGAGGAATTTGAAATTTAATCATTCTAGCCTTGGCCAGATGCTCTAACCCATGGCTTTTCACCCTTTTCACCCATTGTACCACTTTTAGGATATGGCAATATCTAAGTACCACCAGTCGCCTAGCAAGGTGTCAAAAATCTGATGACCAAAAAAAAAAAAAAAAAAAGGAAAAAAGTGATAAAGTACAGGTAGTCCTTGACTTACAACAGTTCGCTTAGTGACTGTTTGAAGTTTCAATGGCACTAAAAAAGTGCCCCCCAAGCCACAGCCGAGCAAGACACCTGCCTGCCCACTTGGCAGCGCTCTTCCTCCTGTCCGAGGTTTTCATTGTTGTGAGCATTTCTGTTGAGGATTGGAAGCGGTGGGGGGTGTTTGGTTTTTATTCCCCCCATCTGCTGAGTGGTTGCAGCAGGTTTTGGTCACTTCACATGACCCTGGGACACTGTGACCATCATAAATATGAATCAGTTGCCAAGCATCTGAGTGTAAATCACAAGACCCTGGAGATGCTGCAACATTCCAGCTGATTGGTGCTTCTTCTGGGCTCATCAGAAGCGCCAGGATCAGCGCCGAGCTCCAGCTGGAGCCTGGCGCTGATCCTGGTGCTTCCTCTGAGCCCTGACAGTCCCGAAGAAGTGCTGATCCTGACGTTTCTGCTGAGCCCTGACAGCCCTGCAGCTCCAGCCATCTCTCGCTCAGGCTTGTGCGGTGCTGCCACCGGTTCAGCTCATTCCCCTCCCCCGCTACCACTTTTCTAGGATGGTCGCGTACCACCTACCAGGTGCCAATGTACCACAGGTGGTACCCGTACCACTGGTTGAAAAGCCCTGCGTCTAACCCATCTTCCCCAACATTGGCTCTCCAAGTATGACAGATTACAATTCCCTTCATCAATATTCAGCAAGTGGTTTGCATGCTGGTTGAAGGTAGTGGAAGCTATAATCCAATATAGTTGGAGAGCACTTGGTTGGTTCTATAATTGATGACAATTTCTAATGTAGATAACCAGATAATTTGACGGTTTGTTTGCATTCCCCTGCTTTATCTCTTGGATTTTAGTTTGAAACAGAAGGAACGTTTCTTTATTTTCTCATTATGAAAAAGAGTAGCTAACCAAAGAACTATGCTAGAAAAAATATAGTTCTACAATAGAGTATTGGGTTACAAATGGATTTATACTCATGTATTGACCAAAAAAGTATAATACAATATTCACTTTTTCCATTTTCAACACTATTGAAGCTATTTTGATTGTACCTTCCACCAATCTTCATTTGAATCCTCCAGTAGTGTAATTCTATCTCCTGGTCTATGATTAAAAAAACAGAAATATTGAAATTAGTTTATATGTCTCTATTAATATGCAAAAGCACAGGTACATTCTATCATATATTCATCCATCAGACTACACTGTAGAATTGTACAAAATTATCTGTAATGTTTAGGTGATTTAATCCCAATGCTGATGGGATTAAAAACTATTGGTTTTGATTTCAATAAAAGTAGCAAAACAAGCAAATCACAACTAAATGCAGCCTTCAGTGCCCCCAGTTCAAATGTTTTTTAAAGCTTGGATAATGTGGACAATGTAATGTATAAATATGTATATTAAGCAAATAAAATATGCATAGATGAAATATACAGGATATACTAGCATTACCTCATTTCCAAATCTTCATGCTCCTGTGGTACAAATTTGTACAAGGCAACATAGGTATTCATCTGAACTGTATCTTTATTAAGAGATCCCTTGATTATAGAAGAGAAGGAGCAAAGAAGAGGAAAATAGATTACTACTAGTCTTGCAAAAACATCATATTGGAAACCATAGTTGCTTTTCCTTAGACATTGAGATGGTATTTTGAAATATATTTGGTTTGTTGAGTACCCATGACCAATGGCTCCATTTTGGTCTGATTTTATTCTTTGTTCTTAAGTCAGAGTAGAACATAAATGGTGAAATTCATTTATCTGACAGGGTCTAAACTTATTTTGAAATAAAATTTAAAAAGCTGGAGAAGGGATATTTAGCAACGAATAACAACTCTAGCAAACTCTGTTTGAGAAGCTAATATTATAGATAGTACAACAGATTTGTATTATCTACTGAACTGATACAATCCCAAATCCAGTAAACAAGACATGTACAAAAGACTGATCTAGGAAGATAAATGGAGAATTTGGAAAGAAATTGCTTTTGATTACATACAGAATTTAGACATTTTTTTCCAGTATCAGAACTGGCTTTATACACAAATCAATTTCTATTTTCTCTCAAGCTTTCTAGATCTCAGTATATTAAGAGAGGGAGAAAAGGCTTTTTATGGTTGTTCTCATTCAATCATTGGGAACTGGAACCATTCCACATCAAATATGTATTTATGTCTATTTCTGTCCATATTAGTTCTCTGCATAAATAGTGATTTAAAAATGAAAATTCATATTTATTTTCAGACCTGTGTCAAAATATAATATACATTTTTTAAAATATGTATTTTTCTGAATACTTTTCCTTAATACATGCATTTACCAGCAAAGAAATATATATGTACAGATCTGGGCAGTAAAAAAATGGAACAATTTTTCTGCATACTAGTACAAAAAGAGAAAATTAGACAGTTTATTGAAAACTGTATGCTGAACAAAAATCCTTCCCCATTTCTACATAATGCAAATGTTTTAAACCATTCAGTTCATAGATTTGGCTATATCTTGGCTATATCTTGAATTGAATGTGGAACTATTATCTATATATTTTATTATAAAAGTCCAAGTAAAGAAAGTCCAAGTAAATCATTTAAGTTGTAATGAATGCTGCGTTTGACAAATGCCAAATATAAAAGATAAAGAGATCTTTGGATTGTTGAAAATTTGTTCTCACTGATTGCAGTCTAATAGTAGATATTAAAATAATGAACAGATGCAGAGAAACCCATCTTTACAAAAGCAGGAGGCTTCAACTTCCTCCATTGTAAGACTGCAATAAAAATGACAAAGGTTTTGCCACTAACTTGGCTGGTTAAATGGTAAGCTTTAAGATAAAATGATTGGGATATACATTTTGGCCTTGCTCTGGCCAATTCCCCCCATCTCTCATCCCAAATTAATGAAAAAGTTTTGCAATGAAATTGTAAACCTATTTACCTGAAAGCTTCACAGAACTAGAAATTGTTAGCAGGCAGCTATATTCAGCTGAATAATTATAATTATAATTATTATAATTTACCTTCCTATAATCCTGTGATTCAGACGTCTGGGAATGGAGCTATAGAAACAATATATGCATGTTCAATTCCAAGTTTTATTTTAAAAAAATAATATTTGGGGAGCAGAAATCTTATTCTGCAAATTATCATTTATTAACATATATATGTATATTGTATTTATTAATGTATATATTCATATTAAAAATTCACCTGTAGTGCAGAGTTAATTTTCTTTGGTTCTTCTCCAAAATCCAACATACCGTTTACTGAATATGTAAATACTGTAATCAGAGAGAAAAATATATTTTAGGATCAAGAGCCTACCTGCCAAAGAACACCACCAGTTGTACTAATATTATATTTTCACTTCATTTTGTCTTTGCCTGCAAAAATTTGTAACTTGCATTCCTACTAAGGTGCCCTTCCTAAGGGTTAAACCACCAATGTCCTATACTCCTATTTCAATCTGTGAAATTTTTTAAAGAGAAAGGGTTGAAAACCATGAGCTTTGATTCTATTATTGGTATTAAAAACTTCACTTTTTAAATAGTCCACTTATTCTTTAACTGAAGAGAAAAGTATGGGAAAAATGTAAAGAATGTAAAAATATTTTGTATTCAAATATTCTGTTCTGTTATATATTTTTCCTCACTATTCATATAACCTGACATATGAATTACTGTCAACATTCAACAATTCTGTTTTCAGAAGCTTAACTATTTTTCTGGAACTGATAATGCTCATGTATGAATATCAATTTTTACCAAGTATCAGTTGTCACCAGACAATGGCACTTTTCTGGGAATCTGAGGTGGATATCTCTGTCTCAGAAGGCTCATTCGATCTCTTCCTTAAGTTCTATAAATGCTCGGTCCTTGGCAATAATGCCATATTCCATGTTAGCACAGGGCAAAGCCTAAAAACCGACTTATAATATGTATGTACTTGATTTTTAATCATCTATCACACTTTCCATGGCAACAAAGGAAGACCACGAGCTGGCGCTCTCCCTCTCTGTCAACACAGCTCTGGAGAAAGGAGGAGAGCCAGCACAATACAGTGCCACCCATCCTAATTCTTGGTTTGTTCTGGAAATTGGGGGTGGGCAACACTGTACTGTGCTCTTTTCCTTTCTCTGGCGACAGTTCCAGTCAGTGTTGACAGAGGAGAGACCCTTTTGCTTTATTGGGTATCTCAGGGGTTCAATTCTTTCTCCCCTTCTATTTAACATGAGGCCTCTGGGTGAGGTGATTTGTCAGTTTGGGGCATGATACCACCAGTACACAGATAACACCCAGCTTTGTATCTCTATGCTAAGCCAGTGCCTGGGGCTGGATGGGGCGAAACATGCTCAATCTTAGCAAGATGGAGTTGATCTGGATATTTGGACCACCTGGAGATAGGTTCTTCCATTCATGGGGTTTCACTGCTCCAGACAGAAATGGTGCACAATCTGGGGGTTCTCTTGGATTGCAGCTCCTGTTCAAAAAGCAGCTGTACCTGTGGCTAGGAGAGTGTTTGCACACTTTTGAGTCATATGTCAGTTGCACCCAAACTTGGACTGAGAAGCCCTGCCCTTGTAACCTATAGGTTAGACTTGAGTATTGTAACATGCTCTACATGGGGCTACTTTTGAAGACCACTCAGAAACTTTAGATAGTGTAGAATGTGGCTGTGTGGATAATAAATGGTTCCAGATACATGGTACACACAACACCATCCCTGAATGAACTACATTGGTTACTACTGTGTTCTTGGTGCAATTCAATGTGCTGGTAGTTAAAGCCCGATATGGCTTGGGACCATGGTACTTGACAGATTGCCTTTTTCCAAAGGCAACCTGTTCAACCAGATCAAGTACAATGAGCATGCAGCCAGAGTGCCAGCTGACAGGGACCAAAAGATGAGCTTTTCCACAGTGGCCCTACTCTATAAATATCCTGTATGGACCCCCCCCCTTCAGTGATTAGAATGTCTTCAACCCTGTTAGGCTTTCATAAGGTCCTAAAAAAGTGGCTCCTGTGCCTGTTAAGGACCCCATTTCCAGGCTGCATTGCTAAGTAGCCAAGCATCTTGCCCCTATATATTATTTAATCTGGATATTTTTAATATTTTACTATGTTTTTAATAATATATATATATTATTTTACAGATATCATTAACCATATATATGTGTGTGTGTGTGTGTGTGTGTGTGTGTGTGGTGTGCTTATGTATATGTATACATGTATATATGTATAAATATATTTAATTAATTGTAAGCCACTCAGAATTATTGACTAAGACTGGCAGCTATAGAAATGGAATGAATGAGACTTCTGGTTTGCCATCGCAGCCACCGTGGAGGCTGGAAGGCGAGCTCCATCTTCTGTGTTTGATTTTGCACTGCTGGCAGACCCTGGAAAGGGTCGAAAGTCACCTTGTAGGGGCAAGGAGGGGATCCCCATTTGATCGCAGGAGGGTGGTAGCCCTTCTGTTTGATCCGGGGTAGCCCTCCAAACCGACGGATGAAAGACTGGCCATAGAAATATGGCCTGTCACTAGGCTGCAGACAGCTGAAGTCAAACTTACTACCAGGCATTTCTAAAGCAGCGCGGATGAGACTGGATGAGATCTGAACCTCTCTTCAATCCTAATTATCTTTTTTACCTGTATAAGCTGCCCAAAGTATTTCCCCCCCTGTGGAGAGAGGGAAGGGAAATCCTATCCCATCCTCTAAGAGCAGCGGCGACTGACTATCCAGGGGAGTTTAAAATGTTGAAAGAATAACCTTATTTTAACTGGATTTATATGTTTCTAAAATTTGGGGACCAAAAGATTTCTTATCCCTATTGAAGATTTGGGTTTTTAGTTACAAAAAGAAGTAAAATTGGAAAAGAATTATAAAAATTTTGGACTTAAAAAACCTTAAACGGCATTGGTGACATCTTGTGGCTAAATCTGACACTATAACCTGTTATTGTCTAAAAGAGACTTGGCTTGAAGCCCAGACTATAGATAAGACTCCTTTAACCTTGGCAGATATCAGCTGTGAGAAGCTCAGCTGTGTTCTATACCCTGATAAAATTATTTTCATCCCCTGATTGTAAAGCTTTTAATTTAATACACTACTAAGAGAATATGGATGAAGATCAGGAATGGATTCTTTCTATGTTGAAAGCAATTCATGAAACTATTTTTACAGCTTCTGACTAAATAAGATGCTATAGAAAAGAACAAGATGTCAGCCTAGATATTCAAACCCTAACTTTGACTACAATTAAAGAATCAACTACACAGAACACAATAGAAGAAGTGGAACAATCAAACATTATGATAGAGGATTCAATGGACCAACAAACACAGTTAATGGAAAACCCACAAAAGGGATTGATAACACTGGAAATGGAAAAGACTTTCTATATAAACCAGAAGAAATCTGAGGAGCAAGAAGAAGAACAGACTAAAGGGAAGATAAACATTCCAGGACAACTATGGGGAGATGGAATAATAGAGAGATGATTTGTTAGTCCTTCCAAAAGAATGGTGATTGGATGGTCTCTTTTATTTCAAATAATATATACAATAACAGAGGGAGATCTATTTGATGATTTAAAAGCATGGACATGGATGGCGAGTTGGCAAAGAAAGAAAGCTAGAATAAGGTTGAAGAAAATTGAGGTTTGGATTTATTAGTAAGGAGGTCATTAATTAAAATAGAATATACTCAAACAGACAAGATGTGTACTTTGAATACTAGATTATGCTATGAATTGAGATAAAGAAAACTGGTCATTTAAAACTTAGAAGTATAAATATCAAAAGTTAAATTTGAATATTGATGGGAAATTAAAAATTGGGGAAAATAAATAAATAGGATATTAATTATAAAGACTGAATGTAAAAGTAATTAAGATATATATAAGCTATTTATTTTGATAAATGTAATAAACATGTCTTTACGTAGTTGATAAAATACGAACTGTATTAGTTTAAATATGAGATAGTAGATATTAAGAGAAAAAGAGAGAAAGTATTTCATGTTGAAATAAGGAAAATTTTGGTCATTAAATTTAAGACATTTGGAAATTAGTAGAAAATAAGAATGTTATACTGTATTATCAACTAGATGATGTAAGATGGTGAGAAATAGAATATATTCAAATAGGACATGTATCTTGAACATTAGGTTTTGTGAAGAATTGTGGTAAAGGAAACTTTGGTTACCTAAAACTTGGAAATTATAAATTAAATGTTAAATTTAAATATTGATGGGAAACTAAAAATTGGGAAAATTACAGGATATTGATTGTCTATAAAGATTGAATGTTAAAGCAATTAGGATATGTATAAGCTAAAAACTATTGATAAATGTAATAATGTTATTTTACTTAATTCATATAATAAGAATTGTATTAGCTTAAACATGAGACAGTAAATACTAAGGGAAAAAGAGAGGAAATATTTAATGTGGTTTGTTTGAGATTTGTACTAAAGACACTTGTATGTTATGGAATTATTGATTAACCCAGCCGCCACATTGCTTTTTAAATATTTAAATGTAAAACTAGAAAATCAATAAAACTTAAAAAAAAAGAAATGGAATGAATGAATAAATAAATAAATACATTCAAACTTTAAACCATTTAATACCCACATGTACCCTTCAATACACTTAATATCCTTAATTAATGTTTTTGTACTCTGTATTAGAATCCTTGGGATCACAACATAAAAGGTTTGGTATTATCATAGCTTGCAGACAGCATGGGAAATTTTATAACTGCCAAGAGGAATGTTTTGGTGGAGCTTTGGAGTATAATATTTTATGCTAATCTTCTGTCGAGACAACAATAATCTAATCAAGTAACGATCAAATAAATTGTTACTATTCTGATGAGGTTTGTTGGGGATCACAGAGAATTCCATCAACAACCTTCCTGCACTATGTGAAATTGTGCATATCTCACAGATAATAGATCTTTTTAAATATGGAAATCATGAATGTTAAATATGCTAAGAAACATTTACTGCATTTTTTTATGATTTGCTGGCAGTGTACAAGAAGCCACACCATAATTATTATAAACCCTGAAAAGCAGTAGAGAGTAAATAGTAGCTGCCTCCTCAATATCTGTTTGCACCTTTTGACATTAATCCCAGAACAGGGTTTGTACTTCAAGACTTTATGAGATAATCTGTGTTTTAGCTATAACTGATAGCTTACACTCACCACTATTGCTGCGTTGCCTATTTATGTCAAACATATTTCCTAGGCTGCCTCTTTCTTCAGGAACTTCTGCCAGATCTGATGTCTGCAATAGAGAAAAAGGCAGCAGAGTGAAAACTAGTGATAAGATGAAGAAAATTGAGATCAAACATGTGCCAACAATTTGATGATGGTAGTGAGAATATGGGAATTAGAATGGAGCTTCAGTGCTGCTTCTACTATATTATCCAGAGGCAGTTTAGATCCTTGATTGAAGTATAGCAATATGTATAGTATAAACTGGTGTCCTAGATGTTAAATGGAATGCAAACATGTTTTCTTATTTAGACTGGAGAAGAAAAAGAGTAGTAAATTTTTTTAGAGCTTCTATATGAAGGTTAGAACAGCCCTTCCCAAATATAGATATAATTCAATATACTAAGGGCCAACTCATACAATTCCCTAATCAACATAGCTATTTAATGTAAGAGGAAGACATTATATTTCCTTGTATGCAATGCTTATCTCTCCACAGTTACTTAGGTGAAGCTAAAAAGATGCATTGTTAGAATTCAATATAATGGTTGGATACAGATGCAGTTATAATTAAAGCAAATTTACTAAAGCCTATTTAGAATCAAATAGCTTAATAAAGAATTTAGTCTATTCTGCTCCATCTAATTATGAATTCAAGTAACATAATCCATCTCTTCATTTACACAATACTGTTTCCCCCCCTGCTTTTATTTCATGGTCATGCCTGACATCCCTGGCTATGAAAAATTTGATGAATGACAAGACAACTTCTGATTTGCAGGGTCATCCTTTCAGAGATATTTCTTACTTAAACAGAGAAGCAAAATGACCACAGGTTGAGTAGAACTACAGAATGAGAAGCAGAGGGAGTGGGAGAGAGTTCTGATTCCTTGCTGGCTTCCCCAGTGAGTTTCCTTGTGGGAAGCTAGCAAAGAGTATCAGAAATCTTCCTTCCTTCCTTCCTTCCTTCCTTCCTTCCTTCCTTCCTTCCTTCCTTCCTTCCTTCCTTCCTTCCTTCCTTCCTTCCTTCCTTCCTTCCTTCCTTCTTTCCTTCCTTCCTCCTTCCAAAATTCCTACTGGCTTCTCCATTTACTTTACTTGTGGGAAGATTGTAGAGAGAAAGACAATGGGGAAGCCAGCATCTCACAAGAATCTGGAAGAATGTATTTGCAAAACGACTAGCTCAGGTTATCCAAAGTTTTAAACTAAAACTGGGGGGGGGGGAGTGATCAATCTTTAGGATCTTTAGGTCCTAATTCCAAGCATAAACACCAAGACAACAAATCAAACAAGGAGGTAGAGAGTGATGGGAAAAAAGAAAAACTCAGATACAAATTAGGAGATTTAGGTCAGACATAAAGGATTCAGATGCCTATACACTAATGCTCAAGGATTGGGGAACAAACAGGGAGAGCTTGAAGTACTAATATATGAGGGCAAGTAAGATATTATTGCCATTACTGAAACTTGGTGGGATTGAAACTCACAACTGGAAAATACTGATGAAAGGATATAAACTGTTCAAAAGAAACAGATGTAACAAAAGAGGAGGCAAAGTTGCATTATATGTAAGAGATCACTACATTTCTACAGAAATGCATAAAACCACAAATAAAAGCCTCCTAGAATGCATATGGGTTAATATAAAAAGAAAAAAGAATGACACTGTCATAGTGAATACTACAAGCCGCTCAACCAAGCAGAAGAAATAGATGAACCTTTTGCTAATAAGTTAACAAATATATGTAAGAAATACACCACAGTAATAAGGGGGAACTTTAACTACCCTGACATCAACTGGGAGACAAACTCTGCATCAAGTGGGAGATTGAACAGGTTTCTGACCAACCTAGCTGACAAATTTGTCAAAGTTTGAGGAGGACACTAGAGGGACAGCGATACTGGACTTAATTCTTACTAATACAGAAGAAATGAAAGAGGGGGTTGAAGTTGCAGGAACGTTAGGGGAGAGTGGCCATGTCATATTAGAATTCAATATAATACTGATTATACTCAGTAATAAAATATAATCAAACCAGCATCTTAGACTTTCAAAGAGCTGATTTAAACAAACTCAGAGAAAGCTTGGGAAGGATTCCATGGATGAAAATCTTAAAGAGGAAAACAACCAAGAATTTTAGGAAATTGAAAAATATTATAAAAGCTGAGTCTAACACAATACCATTGAAAAAGAAAAATAAGAAATCCATGAAGTAATCAGTATGGTTGCACAAGGAATTCTGATAAACTAAAAGAAAAAAGAATAAGTATAGGTAATCCCCGAGTTATGAGCGTTCACTTAATGCTTGTTCAAAGTTATGTGATGAGTGCTCATTAGTACTTAGGAGCAAATCCCAAAATTATGAATATTGCAACACCATGACAGTTGTTGGCCCTTACGAGTGACCGCAATGGCTCTGCAACATTCATCCTGGTTATTCCCTCCCTCCTCACCCCTACCCTGGGTCTCTGTAGGCACCAGACTTCAATACTCACCCTGCGAAGATCAAGATCCTTCGCTTTCTTGGCTGCTCCAGGCCTTTGTGTGTTCACAGAGAATGGAGGTCTAAAGTAATGCAAGATCATGTGAGATCAGTGGGGCGAGATCTCACATTACTGATCTCGCGTAATCTCATGATACTTTAGGCCTCTGTTCTTTGCAACAGAGAATTGAACCAAAGCAGGGGAAGCTTCCACGTGTCTCTGGAGGCTGGATCGGGGCTCCAGAGGCCTTTCCCAGGCCATTGCAGCATGGATCTGAGGCTGGGAAACGCTTCCGTGCCCCTCCCGTGGCCTGATCTGGATTCTGGAGGCCTTTGCCAGGCCGTTGTGGCCGCCTGGATCTGAGGCCAGTGAATGCTTCTGCAGCCCCCCACAGCCTGATCCAGACTCTGGAGGTCTTTTCCAGGTCGCTGCCACCCAGATCTGTGGTCAGTGAATGCTTCCGTGCTCCCCCACAGCCTGATCCTGGCTCTGGAGACCTTTTCCAGGCTGCTGCTGCCTGGATCTGTGGTCAGTAAATACTTCCATGCCCCCCCCATGGCCCAATTCGGGCTCCGGAAGTCTTTTCTAGGCTGCTGCCACCTGGATCTGTGGCCGGTGAATGCTTCTGCATCCCCTCTGCAGCCTGATCTGGGCTCCAGAGACCTTTTCCAGGCCAATCAAGCCATAGGGGGCATGGAACCATCCTCCGGCCTCATATCTGGGTGGCAGGAGCCTGGAAAAGGTCTCTGGAGCTCGGATCAGACCATAGGGAGATTGCGGACGCATCCCCTGGCCTCAGATCTGGGTGGCAGCAGGAACCGCAGCAGAGAGGATATAGATCTTTTCCAGGTGAGTCCAGCATGGCAGGAAGGATGGGGGAAGCATGCAGTATCTTAGTGGGTCGGGAATGCCTTGGGATCTATTCCATCACTGGGCCCTCCATGGCCTTCTCTACCCTGAGATACCTCATGTTTGCTTAATGAGCCGCGTGCATTTTAATGAGCAAGATAGTAATCTTGTTTGAGGTACAAGATTCACTCTACGAGTTTTCGAGTTATGAGTGGAATGGTCAGGCTCCATTACACTCGTAACTCGAGGACTACCTGTATAAAAAAAATGAAAAGAGGGACTTATAATTAGGGCAGAATACCAGCATATAGCCCAATCTGCAAAGATGAAGTCAGGAAAGCTAAGGCTCAGAATTAAATAATACTTGCAACAAATGTCAGAAATAATAAAAAAGTTTCTTTCAACATATAAAAAATAAGAAAAAAAGTAGCTAATGGGAAAAGATGGTAAGAAAGTGAAGGGCAGCAGAGAGAAAGCAGAATTGTTTAATGTTTTCTTTGCATCTGTTTTCACACACACACACACAAATAGCCCAACCTACCAAAAAACAAAACCGTAAAAGATAGACTATGGATTCAAATTAAAATAAGCAAGAAAATGATAACATCTATCCACTCTAGATGAGTGCAAATCACCAGGACCTGATGGATTACATCCCAGAGTTCTGAAGGAGCTGGCAGATGTGATCTCAGAACCACTGAAACCAGTGAACTGGTTTCAGGCAGTTCACACCACTTTGGCAGAAATGGTAGCTAATTTTTTGTTGCCCAGGCCCAGAATGGATTTCCGGAAGCAGCATCCACACAGAGAACTGGTTGTTCACACATTTGAATCCCACCACTGCATTGAATCATATTTTTCAAAGATCCTGGAGTAGCTGGGAACTACCAGAAGCCTAGAAAAATGTTGATGTGGTTTCCATCTTCAAAAAAAGAGAAAGAAAAACAGATTCAGAAAGCTACAGACCAATCAGCCTGACATCAATATCTGGAAAGATCATGGAAAAGATAATCAAGCAACAGATCTATGTATACCTAGAAGCAAGCAGTTATATCCAGAAGCCAACATGGATTTACCAAAACAGATCATGCCAAACAAATCTTATTTCATTCATTGACAAAATGGCTATATTAGTGGACCAGTGAAATGCTTTGGATATAGTATACTTGGATTTCAGTAAGGCATTTGACAAAGTAGACCACAACCTATTTCTTGGTAAGTTAGAAAAATGTGGGATAGACAACATCACCACCAGATAGACTTGTAACTAGCTGATAAGCTGCACTCAATGCATAGTCCTTAAAGGAATTACATCTACATGGAGGGAAGTAAGCAGTGGGGTATCCTAGATTTTAATTTAGGCCCAGCTCTCTTCAATATCTTCATAAATTATTTAGATGAGGAAATAGAAGGGAAACTCATCACATTTACAGATAACACCAAGCTGGCAGGAATAGCCAATATTCCAGAAGATAGGCTCAAGATCCAGATGAACTTGAACACTGGGCCTTATCTAACAAAATATATAGGTGCAGATTAGGTGAAACCTGGTTTGATAACAGTAACAGTGAGAAAATCTTGGTGTATTAATGGACAATCACTTAAATATGAGCCAGCAATGTGCTGCAGCCATCAATGAAATCCTAAGCTGCATTAACAGACAGAGAGAATCAAGATCACATGAAGTGTTAGTACAGCTTTATAAGGTCTTGGTAAGACCACACTTGGAAAATTACATTCAGTTTTGGTTACCGCTATATAACAAAGATATTGAGACTCTGGAAAGAGTGCAGAGAAGAGCAACAAAGATAATTAGGGGACTAGAGGCTAAAATGCATGAAGAATACCTGCAGGAATTGGGTATGTCTAGTCTAGTGAAAAAAAGGACTAGGGGCGACATGATAGCAGTGTTCCAATATCTGAGGAGCTGCTAAAAAAAGAAGGCGTTAACCTATTTTCCAAAGTACCAGACGCCAAGATAAGAAGCAATGGATAGAAACTAATTAAGGAAAGAAACAACCTAGAACTAAAGAGAAATTTCCTGACAGTGAGAACAATAAACCAGTGGAACAGATTGCCTTCAGAACTTGTGAGTGCTCCATCACTGGAGGATTTTAAAAAGACAATGGGCAGGCATTTATGAAATGGCTGTCCAATCATTATGCAGACCAATATGACTACCCAGTCATTATGAAATAAAATAGGGTCTCCTGGTTGAGCAGGTGGTTGGACTAGAAGACCTTGAATGTTCCTTCCAACTCTGTTATTCTGTGATTAAATCTAAAGCCAGCAGGCAGATGAGTGGCTGCTTTCAGGTGGGGACGTGAGCTAGGGTATATATAAGGGTGTGGGGCAAGAAGGGTATGTGGGAATGTTCAAGAGATATTGTGCAGGTTGGAAAAGTGCATGGGTGTGTTTGAAGAGATGCTTCATGGGTTGGGAAGGGCCTGTGTGTGTGTGGCATGTGTTGTGATGGAGAATAGAGGTATGGAAGAGGTGCTATACAGGTCAGGTAGAGCCCATGAATCAGGTAGGATGTGTATGGGAGGGCAGTGTAATCAAGAAACATGTATGGGGGTTGCAAGGATGTGTGATAGGTACCAAGATAGGTGTGCAAGAGAGGCCACTTGAGTTGGGAAAGGCGTGCCAAGGGAGTATGGGTCAGGGAGGGTGCATGGGAGTATTCAATGTGCCACACAGGTCAGGAAGATATGCAGGAAGGCATGAGTCAAGAAAGGCTCAGGGGAGTTGCATGAGTCGGAAGAGGTACCACATTGGTTGGGTAAGACATGGAGTTAGTGTTGCGAGTCAGGGATTGTGGGGGAGTGACATGGGCCAGAAAATTGTGAATGGGTTACTTCCTCCCTGTTCCTCCCTTCCTTTCTTTCCTCCATTTCTTCCTGTTCCTCCCCCACTTCCTATGCATCCCCATTACTCTCTTCATTCTCCCTTCCCTTCCTTTCTCTGCAGACAGCTAAGTGGCTGCTGCTGGATGAGGATAGAGTGAATTGCTGTGAGAGATTGGGAAAGTGTTGCAGACTATTAAAAATGGGTATCACATGATTGCAACAATAGCCCAGGAGAGCTGAAGCAGTAGCAGCCCAGTAGTACTGAAGCAGCCATATTGATAATGATTTTTAGTTACAGAAAGAGCAAATAAAATTCTTTCTGACTAAAAGCTAAAGCATGTTATTGTTAAAAAAAACCCTGTTTGGAATCCTGTTGTCTTTATCAAATGCATAAAATATAATACATTCATTTTAGGGCTATATAAATGTGTGAAATAACACATTTTGCTTTGAACTGTAAGATGGGCAGAAATTAAATTTGATAATAACAGTAACAACAATACATTTATTAGGGTAGATAAAAATAAAGTTTACTTATGTTTTTAAAATGTTTACAAGAACTGGCAGGCAAACATGATCCCATTCTTTTAATGGATTATAATAACATTTGTTTATAATTAATGGGTTTCTAATTCAAATAAAGGAACAGAAGTAGGACAATCAAGATAGGTTGAGCAAAAAGCCAGAATGACTTTTTCTTGTTTAGAAAGGCAGTCAAGACAGTCTTTTTCCAGAGTTTAGGATTATAAGATGTCTCTTAAATGGGAATAGCTGCCTAATGGATGTCTTGCTATGTTGGTTTATGATTGTGGATTGTTGATATAAGTTATATTAAGAGACACTATAATGGTGTGAAGTCATCATGATTTTATGATTTACTGATTTGTGAGTTGCCTTGAGTCTTGATGGAGGTGATCTATAAGTAATTCAAATATATGTATGATATATTTTTAAAAATTCCTATTCATTGATGAAACATATTGGGTGCACTTGGACCACTAATTCTTTTTTAATTTTTACCTATTGCACAACATTGTTATGAGGAGAAAGCAGGAAAAAATGAATCAGATTTACTGTCATAAACAATCTGAAAGAATGTAAAAAAATAAATTATAAATAAATCAATTAATTAAATATACTGTACTTCCAAATTCCAAGTTCTAATAAACTGAATTTCATGTGTGTTTTTTTTCCCAAAATGACTGTAGTACTAAAAACTACACATTTCATGTGTCACCTGGCATTTCACAGCCTGACTTGATAAGAAGTGAATCCCACAATGTGTTGGCATTAGAAACCTACACCCACTCTCCATCTGATCAAAATTTCAAGGCAAGCTGACATTATGTTCAAGTTTTTTTTTGCTTGAGTAATAATTTATTATTTAAGAGAACACTTTACTCATTTGGCATGAAATACACTTAGGAGATTCTGATCATGAATGAATTGCAGGAATCAAAGAAAAAGAGCAAAACATTAGAAAAAAAATAGTCTTCTGTTTATGAAATATGGCAGTGATTGGGTTTGATAGATCAGTAGACAAACCATGATCTCTTAAATTATTATTTCAGAGATGTTTCCTTACCTGATTTCCCAATGTCTTCAACAGTGGTAGAACTTCTACTGTGCTTAAAACATTCTTAACAATTCAGAGATACATGCAGAGAGGGATGCACAGTCCATATTTGAATTGTATAGCACAGTCAAACATCAGCACAGGAAATGTTTTGTGGCATTTTGTATTATGTCATAAACCATTTTATGATCATTTTTATAACATAAAATGCTTTACAAAATTTGCCAAATTTCAATTTCATAGGAGTTATGAGTCCCAGATTTTGGATGCATTCTTTAGATTAGCCCATAGGAGATACCTTGGTTCAAAATTTGTTGTCTTATGATGTGCTGTTTTACCAAGTTTACATTATGGGAATGGGAGTTTTAGTAGTATATAGATTTTAATAGGCAAATAAGCTTTCAAAAGATCTAGAATCCTTCTCTGTGAGTATTAATTCTTTGGAACAGCTTTAACAATGGTAATTACAGAAGAGCAGATATTGCATGGAGGATGTAAGACTACACCTTAGTACTGTTTTCTGTCTAAATAGTGTTCTAGTCAGCTCTTGCTTAGGAACAGTATACTATTATATCTTTAGTGAACGTTGTCAGGATTGACTGGCAACTGCTCTCCAATGCATAAAATATGTAAAAGAGGAACTTTATCTAATTAGGGATGCAGGAAATGGAAGGCTTCTGAATGCAAATCATGTATTGTATTCCTCCTCCTCCTCCTCCTCCTCCTCCTCCTCCTACTACTACTACTACTACTACTACTACTACTACTACTACTACTACTATGCCTTATGTTATCAGATTAGGTTTAAAAACCATGCTGTGAATTTCAGCAGCTATATTGTAGTTAGATGAGAACAAAGAAGATGAGAGTTTGGGGCATCTAAAGGATGCTAGGTTGCCTAACTCTACAAACATGGAGCTAAATATTTTTTTTATTTTAATACTTGGCAAGGATACTTTTATTTGGCTGAAAGAGATTGAAAAATATGATATATTTGGAAAGCAGATCCCAAAGAATTACCCAGTTTTGCTCTGAGCTGATCATATTGTAAATCTTCCCTTATGTAGAGAATTGTCGGGAATCCTAAAGAACACCAATATAGTATGCAGGATTGGCATACGTTGCAAAAAGGTAAATTGAAGTTATTATTGCAAAATAGAGATTCTAATTATGACAATCAGAATAAATATCTAAATAATCTAATCTTGTTATTGCTTTCCTCCTGAAATTGTAATTGTAAACAAGGTGTCCTATTTCTTCACTAAAGTGTTAAGAACTACTGATATTAATAGAGAATGGTGCCCTAAAGATAGTATGGTCTCTTCAAAGACTATTGGAAAAGCAACCTTTTTGCATGATAATAACAAGCTGACAGCACCATGCTATAGGTATCTCTTCCTGTGCTTTTCGAATATTTGCAATCCTATATATATGATATTTTGTGTATTTGTAGACGTAAACATTTATAAAATTATTGGCTGCTCCATAATTATCAGAAATAATTCTGGCCCTGTTTTTCTGGTGAGGTTATTAGTTATTATTCTGGCTCAAATAATAAATCGGGTTTTTCAACAGTTCTATTTTTGTTTCTCTCTCTCTTACAAGAATTGAAAATATTTTTGTTTGTTTGCTTAGTCTGACATGCCAGATAGATTTGGCTGTGGATAGGATGGAATTTGCTTCAGAAAAGTCTATAGTTTGGGCTTTTTTGTGGAAAGTGATATTATTCCCATTGTGTCAGTCCCAGACAACTCAAGATTTTAAACTTTAACTTTAAATGATTTGCCTGTTTTTGTTTTATTTGGTATCCTGTATATTTCAGCAACTATCTTCTTTTAACCCTTCATCTTCTTTAATTTTTCCCATATTTCTATAAAGCCTTTGAACAGTCCTTTAGTTCAAAACCTTCAATACTTTAATTTTTTTCATTCTTACTTCTTCTATCGTTATCCCTAATATTTATATTCTTAGCCCTCTCTTTGATCTGCTGTTCTTTCCCTTCCAATATATTAAAATAGAAATGTTGATTATACAATTGAGGCAATGACATAAAAAAGCCCTGCTCCTATTAGGAAAGTTTTTAAAGCAGAGAGAAAGAAATGATATAATTACAGAATTCCTTTTGGGAGAATCCGAGCTACTTCCAGTACTGCCTTTCTTGGTTTTCTGGGCCAAAGAAGTTCCAAAGCGAAGTGTTTCATACACAGGGTCAACTTTATTGCCACAGGCTGAGGGGAGAAAAACAAAACATTGATACATTTGAGAGATAAGGCAGAACAAGTTCTTTCCATATACCGTGAAAATTATCATGTACCATAATAATATAAACTGACTGCAAGTGACAGCATGACAAGGTAGCATTGGAATATTTGCAAGAAAAACACCTGCCTGAAAGTAAGAACTTGTGGAACCGTAAATTAGACAAAGTAATAGAAAATGAAGAAGTTGCTCTGAAATTTTAGAATTCAACAAGACAAGTACCTGTCACATTTTTTTAATTGTCAATAAGAAAGACAACAAAGTCTAGCTAGTGGATATGGCAGTACATGGAGATGGTAAAACAGAAGAGAAACAACTGGAGAAGGCAACAAAACACAAAATCTATAAATAGAAAAAGAACTGTGGAAAAAGAAAACAAAGGTAGAACCAATAATAATTGGCACATTGGGTGCAATCCCCAAATAATTGGAGCACCACTTGAACACTATCAGCATTGATAAAATCACCACCAATCAATTGCAAAAGGCAGTTTTACTTGGAACAGTAAAACATCCTGTGACAATACCTTTAACACCATCAAATATCCATATCTTTCCATCCCAGGTCCTTGGGAAGGACTCAGTAAGTGGATGAAAATGCCAAATCCTGTGTAAATATTTGACTTACTATGCAATAAACAGTAAGAATAACAACAGCGGCAATGTTTGGCAAAGGGTTAGATCTTAGAACAAAGCCCCCAGGATATAGTCCAACATGCTTTATCAACTGCTTATTGTTTGTGGAAAACAGCAGAACCACCCTGTTTTATGACTAGATCAAAAAGGTTGCAGAAGAAAATGGAGCAAGTCCGCTTACGCAAAGATTCTATGCTGAATGGCAAGGAATCTGAGAGATTAATAGGGCTACTCTTGGACCACTGCAGCAGAACTCTTCCCATCTTACTGCAAGTTTCTGTGCCACCATAGCGATTTTCCCTCTGATTGTTGAAGAGAACAGAGGTTCATCTAGTAGCCTCCCTCTCTCTCTCTCTCTCTTCCTGAATAGAGATTTTGCAGAAAGTATTTCAAAAGATTCCTATTTCTGCTGGTAATTTCTACCACCACTCAACAGCATAATACTTGCCTCTCCTTTTTGGCCTGCCATTACTGGCCTTTTGAATCCAAGGCAGCAATGAGATAGCAAAGAGCCAGCCAGCCAATCTGCTGCATGCTGCTGGCATTGTTGCTTCATGCCATTGTTGCTGATGGTATGTGAAATCAAATCAGTGAAGGGGAGACAAGCAGGAAGTCAAGCAGTCTGTGCTCTTGTTGAGAGTAAGTGGGAAATTCGGATAGACAGAATCATCTTCCCTGCTCCTTGGTCCCCCATTAGTAACAGCAGAAACCGAGGACTGGAGGAAACCACATTGCAGAGGATGTGGAGAAATGCTCCAAGACAAGATAGCGTAGTAAGATAGTTAAGAAGTTCAGGCTAGAATTCAGAAGTTCTAATTATAATTCAGCCAGGAAGCTACTTGGGTGAATTGTAGTTGCCTAATTGCTTTTATTTTTGGTAGATATGGGCAATTCATCTCCTCCTACTTATTTTTTTTACTTTTAGTTGTCTAGACTAAATCAAATGCAACTGTACTAATCAAATGCAACTGTACTTTATTATGATCAGACTGTAGACCTCAATTCCCCATTAGAATCTCTCATCCCTGTGACTTTTAAAGAAAAAAAAAACTTGGAATCATATCCCATTTCTGTTTATCTTGTTAACAGTCCTCCAACTTTGTGCCTTGCAATGGAAATTTTCTGGTTTATGAACTTTATTGTTGCTGTTCGGGGTGTTTTTTCCTTTCTTGAAGTTTCCCTCTTCAACAAGATTTGCACAATCCCAGGAGGGAAAATGAGTGTCTTCAATGAAAATATATAAAAGTTTATATGGGCCACTGAACATCAAGGTTCATAGAATAGAAAAAGAGAAACAATAAAAAGCAGAAAATTAATTGGAGTTTACCAATTGGCATGACTTCTTTGATGCAGCCAAACTGCTCCTGAATGAGAAGGGGACTGCTGTAGTAACGGCGAAAACCTTTGGGCTAGAAAGAAAGAGAAAGGAAACAAAGACATGATACTAGGAGAACTAAAAACAATAGGTGCACTCATTTAAACGTGAAGGCAAAAAGGCATTTCAGAGCCCATTCACTTAGCATCTGCTCTAACTCTTACAGCAGCTGCACTTTCCCCCCACAACCATGGAAGTACTCTGCATTTGTAGAGCAACACTGAGAAAAGATTAATTCAGAGAGGTCTGAGATGAAGCCTTCCTGGAGAGGAACTAATAGGACTAATAGCTCTGATTCAGAAGGAAACCAGGAAACCAAATTTGCTTTGCTGCTGAACCTAGGGCACAGTCCAGAATTTAAGTGGCCCTTTTTCAAGGATGCCTCAACTGATCCTCCTACTTGTATTACTGCCCGCTTATTTGCCTTTTGACAAATTTGTGGATTTGGAGATCTGCAAACTGTCGAAAAGCAGAGTGTAAGACAAGAAGAGCATACTGCTTCACTTCTTCCGTCTTGCCATTGCTTGCAAGCTAAGGAAAGAATGGAAATAGTCAAAGGCACAGGAAGAAGGACCCAGAAGATTGTAGAAGTCAGCAATACAGTCTTTGCAGAAAGAGGAATGTACAAAATAAAAACACTCAGTATTATCTTTGCCTATAGGTACCTATGCTACGTAAACACAAAGAGACTGGGAATGATTTCTACAACCTTTTAGTAATGCAAGTATATTTCTTTAACTCAGTTAAATCAAGAAGGTTGGAGGGATCTGTTGGACCAACATCTCTTACTGAGCCTTATTTGCAGCTTTATTCAATAGTTATATTGGCTTACCAATTTGCCCATGCACCGTTGCTGTCCAGTGCTCTCTGCACATTTGTGGTGAATGCTCAGTTTGCATGCCTTACAGCGTAATCCATGTTTAGCATTTGTCCCTGTCAAAGGCACAGATACAATCAATAGTTTCCATGCACTCACCAAATGACATGGCATACAAATTCAAATGAGATTCAACTTCCCTGCACTGCAAAACTTCCAGTCTTATTCTAAGTGAGTGGAATCTATTTTATTTTTTCATAGGATGAAGTGAGTCTGGAAAAACTTTTACCTGCAAACAATTGCATCTCAAATACATGAGAAAGCAGAATTGCACATATGTAAATGGATTTTTTTAAAAAACCCAACCTTTATTATTTTTAAATATAATTCAAAGTGGTGAACATATCTAAAGCTCCTCCCTCCTCCTATTTTCCCCCACAAGTCTGTGAGATAAGCTGGACTGAGACAGAGTGACAAACGCAAAGTCAATCAGCTCGTTTTTTCATGCTTAAGCGGGACTAGAGCTCACAGTCTCCTCTGTCATCTTTACCCTTTAAAAACAGAAATGTATGAAATATTGCAAGGGTGGCAGGCCTGTGAGAGTTCCCATGGCTCTACCAGTGCTAAAGAATGCAGTGAGAAATAAGGTTCCAGGTGCTATAGTACTAGCATAGAGTGCAGTGGTCATGATGGCAAGCAGGACTAGGTGGCAGAGCCAACTGTAAATATAAGTGAGCCCAAGTTGGCCCGAAGTTGTTCATGTGACCATGGAGTGCTGCAGCAGCCAAGGCTACCTATCATAAATCTCTTTGTTTAATCTATCATAATTTAGAGTGGTCGCTGAACAAATGCAAGTTAAGCAAGGACTTTGTATGAATAGAACAAAATAGAATGAAAAATGCAGATCTAGTATCCACTCTCACTTACCGTAAAGATATTTACAGAATGCTTCCCTGAAATATTTTTGCCATATACTTTGTAGCATTGGTAAAGTTTAATCTGCAGATTTAGCCATGGGACCTGGCTGGTAAAAGGGAAAATACCAGCTCCAGATCCTCATCATTTAAATAGACAAATCCGCTGATATAAATGAAATCTGTTTCAGGACAGTAACTCTTCTGCAGCACTATTTTCTCACTCAATCCAATGGGAAGATGAAGGCTTTCTCAATTTCCTGCCGTACATTTTCCTGTAATCCCCACCACCTGGGAATTTCCTACTGATTTTTATGCAATAAACATAACTTTGATAACTCTGATCAGATTAGGGTACTGTCTTTCTGCCCCTAGTATTGCCTATTCTGACTGCAGCTGGAATCCAGGATTCTAGTCACAAGACTTTTCTATCCTGCAGATATCACATTGCAGTGGGGATTCCAGAGATTGGATATGCACTCTGCCATTGAGCTATATGTATAAATGATTGACTGAATAACTTATAGCTGAAAAATTCAGCAGTAAAAGGGCAATTTTGAGAGCAGAATTATTGCTATTAATATTACAACATTGATTTAAATGCTGGCATTCTATTCCCAGAGCAGTCAGGATGCCTTATAATCTAAAGTAAAATACAGGTTTGGATTGTCTATGTCCACTGTCCTATGAAAGAAAAATTTAAAAAAAAATCAGTTCTACACACCCCTGTGATGTTACCTGCAAGACTACTATGATTTCTACATTCCTTCAGGCTTGAAATAACTTAAGAAAAGTAATGAAAAATTATCCAAGCCTTATTTCCAGCATGTACTAGCCATCCACTGAACCTAAAATTATAATGTGTAAGAAGCCTTGGCATCTTGCTTACTAACTGGACTTGAACTAATTCTGTGCCTTAACCCTTGGAACTCATTATCTCTTTTCCCCTATATCTCATCTCATATATGCAAATATTTAAAGCCTCATAATTTAGCCCTGGCCAGCAAAAATCTATTAAGGATTCTGAGAAATAACAATATATCTATTTTTAGCTTTGATCAGATGAACACATTTTATATTCCTTTTACTTTTGATAATCTTGATCCTTAATCCTCTCAGATAAAGTCCTGGAATTTGATTTCTTGTCATTTTTTTCTTTGTCCCTTCCCACAAAATTCTTCACAACTTTAACTCATCTCTTTTGTAAATCCAGTATAAGAAAGCTATCCAGGTCATTCTATGGACCCGCTGTGTTCAGTAGAAATAAATCCCAGTAAGTTTTGATAGGAATTCCTGAAAATCTATGTTGATTTGCACCACTAACACTTTTGTAGTTTTTCACTCAGAGGGAGAAAAAAAACACCATTGTTCACTTTTCCTTTCTTCTAATGTAAATTACACTCCAAATTCTTCTGTCTAATTATAGATGTTATTAAATATAAAAATAGGGACCTAACTTCAGCCTTGCATTGGCCTATGATTTTAGTTCAGACTGCCAAAAATCAGAAAAACAGAATACGTACTAAATATATGAATTTTTTTCTTCTTTTTTAAAGATGAGAATATAACATAATAAAAGTTATAGGATTCACCGGAGAAAAATTTGCTTCCCTTTGGAGAAGCTGGTATGATACTTAACAAAATGTGCATTTCATATTGTGCATTTAAGAAGAAAAAAACAGTGTTTAAAAGACATTTCATCTCAGTCTGCAGGTTCTTTTTAAACCCACTGTGCATCTATGATGACAAATCTATCTCTGAAATTGTTCCAAATATCCCCACAGGTAACAAATGCAATCCAATAACAGAAATATAAAGAGTTTGTCCTGTTGGGATTCATTTCGTAGAATGGCTTGAAGCACACTAGCAGTATTTAGATTTGTTTTCCTTAAGGGAAACTTAAGATACTGATTTTCAAACAAAAAATGTATTTGCACAAGTTTGTGTGAACACTATGCTGTGAATTTGTGTGTTAGTGCAGATAAACAGAAATGTGTATTTTCTGAACATTTTTGAAGAGAAAAATTTTCTGCAAGTGACTCCAATTAGTACATTCATCCCAGTATCCATAGTCTATACCAGTATTAGGCTAATTTGATGTAGTAAAACATCTACTAGGACAATACAATCAATAAAATTAAAAGCTTTGAAACATGCAGAATTACATTTAGTGGGATAGTTTTTGAAATAGACAATAAAACTGAAACTGTCAGACTAGGCTAAAGTAGGAAATTTACCACTCTACCTCTCTGCATATAAATTGATAGTTTTGAAGAGGCCCAAGCCTCCATGAAATATCCTTAGTTCCACAATTATTTCTTTTAAGTATGATTCTGTATGTATGAAGAATAAAAAAATATGAAGGGATAGAAAGTGATTAGTTAGATTGCATGCACATAGAATCTTACTATAATTCCGTGGCCACTTTGCAACTCATTTAAAAACAACAACGAAGGCAAACAGAAGCATAAATTCATATGTACCGCTTTAAAGACTGAATAAATATGCTGCTTTTTTTTTTCTTGTGGTAATTGATCCAGCAAGCAGCCAGTATATTGATCTCTTCTGTAAATAGGGAGGGTGGCAGAAATGTAACTTAGCTTCAGAAATAAAGAATAATTTAAAGCCCTTCTGTGATATTATTTTGCACATGCTAAATGATTTTCAAAGCATGGGCATCTATGAAGGAGCAGCAAGGAAGGAAACGTGAATAATTATGATGCTGAAAAGAAAAAAACACTTATGCCTTTGAATCAAATGTCTGTACAAATCAGAACACAAATACGTGAGGGCAGGATTTATGTCATGACATTATCGAATACTGATCATCATTTTTGCATAATTTCAGTTTACCTTCTTGCCCCCTCCCTCTTATACCTGGTTATTTGAAACACAACTTCATATGACTTTACATACATCTTTCTCTCACTTTTCAGATAGAATAATAATTATTTCAGTCATGGAGAGACAATTGTGATAGATAAATGCATGGTCTGTCATCGTGTTCTAACTTCGTATTTCACTGTGGATCTGAAAGAGGCCTGCAGCCACAATTAAGCAGGCTGATAGATTGAGTGTTTTTTTTAAATAAAAAGAATAGTCATCAAAAGGGAAAGGTTTTTGATTTTCAGTGCAGAGTTTGATTTAGTTTGAATGTCTGGAGGAATTTTGCTGTGAAAAAGATTGTAACATTTGGAACATCTTGATAAAAAGCAAATAAATGAGAGTTGTAGCATACAAAATTATAATGATGACAGATGATAAGGTATTTCTCTAAACTCTCTTAACACGATAATCAGCATCATTTACTGAACTGAAAGACATGGAATTCAGGACAGATGAAATAACAGCTTCTTCCTAGAACATAGTTAAACAGTGGGACTCACTATCACCAGGTGGTGACCAACCTGTTTTTAAAAGAGAAGAGAATAACAGAAGAAAATGGTATCTATAGTTGTATAGTGTGATGGTTATAATATTATCTTTTATATTAAAGGCAGCATTACCTTGATATTCGTTGCTAGGAGATACTTGACAAAAGAAGCTATTGTATTCATATTCTGTAACTTGTACTATAGAGGCTATTCTTACAATAATATAGCAGAAATAGTAGTAATTTTGTTGGTAGGGTATACTACTTCAAACTACAAGTGAGAGACGTATGAAGTTGAATGATTGCTTTTTCATGAAAGATGGGAAATCTTGCACTTAGAAAGCCAGAATATTATGAAGAAGACTACCCATAAACATTTTTATTTTCTTTTTATGTGATAATGTTGTTTTGCCTAGAGCAACATTCAGACAGGGATAGGACTAGTCACATAAGATACAGTTTTATTATCTCATCTGAAGCATGTGAATCTGGGCATCAGAACATGGGAAACTTAATCTAAGAATCCTACCTCTGTTCCTTCTTTAATAATAGTCAAGAGAGGGAAGGCATTTACTCCATGTGCTGGACAGTCCTCCTTCCTTCCATATTACTTAATCCAGAAAAAAAATGCAGAGACATTTTCCTGGATGGATGGCTACATGATGGATGGACAGATAAACAGATGGATAGATACTGGAATTAAGCATTAAGCTACTACTAGAGTTAGGTGTGTTCTTATTTTAGTAATGATTCTCCCATCCTCCCTTAACTAATTTCTCATTATGTTGTGCAATGTTATTTTCTTTGATGGTGAAATCAACAGCTCAAT